ATCTCAATGACACATTATAATATGTTTTTGTTCTCATTCACAGTTTTGATCAGTATTTTAGATCTAAAAACTTTGAAAGTATTTCATTTGTTATTTTTTTTTTGCATTGTAGTTTTATTTTGATTTTTTAATTTTTTGTCAATAATATCACATTATGTACAAATTTTCAAAATGTGACATTATCAAAAATGTCACACCTTATGGTGAAACGGAGGGTGTGATATTATCGAGGTTAGGGTGTACATCAATATATCATCTAAAAAAACAATGACAGATTTATCTAGATAAGGGCGAAAGATATCGTTCATCAATCCCATGAACGTAGGTGGTGCATTAGTGAGACCAAAAGACATCACTAGATACTCAAAGTGTCCATATCTAGTACGAAAAGCTGTCTTATGGACATCTTCATCTGCAATTCGAATTTGATTATAGCCGCTTCTCAAATCTAGCTTGGTGAAGTACTTCGGTCCTTGAAGTTGATCAAACAAATCATCCATACGAGGTAATGGATATTTGTTTTTCACCGTTTGCTGATTCAACCCGCGATAATTGATGCATAGTCTCATGGATCCATCCTTCTTCTTCACAAAGAGCACTAGAGCTTCATATAGTGAAACACTTAGTTGAATGAATCCCTTGCTCAACATCTCCTCCACTTGAGCTTTGCATTCTTCCAATTTGTTTAAAGCCAAACGATATGGAGCTTTGCAAGTTGGTGTACTTCCAGGTATCACCTCAATCTTGTGATCTTCTCGCCTCTTTGGTGGTAATCTTGCAGGTAGATCATCTGGAAAAACATATTTATACTCCATAAAAATGTCGTTCAAGGAGTCTGAGATGTAAGGTTTGTCCGTGGACCCAATATCTTTTATAAGTCCAAGTAAACATACATCATTTCTAGAAATGGATGTTGAACTCATAACAAAGAGGGATAAATTCTTATTATGAGATCTAATTCTATCTCCATGGATCTTCCATCCACTACTTGTAATCACTTTTCTTCTCCAATCTACCTTCGGATTATATTGCTTCATCCATGGCATTCCAAAGATGACATCATATCGAGCTAAACGAATTACTTTCATGGTATCTACCTATGGATAATTCTACACACCGTGGTAGTGTTTTTATCACTTCAGTTTGCCCGTTTGGCAATTCAACTTCTTCACTCACGTCCTTCATCGACATCAAATCTAACTTCATAGCAACACTCATTGATAGAACATTCTTAGTTACTCCAAGATCAATTAAAACTCTCACCTTGTGTACTTTCATCAAATCATCAGTGACAATGAGTTGAGCTTGCTTCTTACTCCTTCCATGAGCTCCCAACCATTGCCGTCTTCCAACCTCGCATTTTCTTTGCTTTGTAGAACCAGTAAGACTGCGAGGCAAGTTTACTGGTGATCTTCGTTTCTTGAAACTTCTTCTTACACCTCTTTATACTCCATTCCCTCCATGTTGTTGAACGGTCGTCGCTGCATGGGCCGTCCTCCTTGTGGTGTCGGCCGAATTCAACAAAACTTGGCAATGTGATCCATTCGTCCACATGCATAGCATTAACGATTATCACGAACTCCAACTTCTCTTTGAACCATTCCGTTATTTGCATAACCTTCTTGCAAATTTTGAAATCATGGTCGTCAAATCTCACCTGGTGGTACTCTTGTTGGTGCAAAACCTTCTCTGCGTTGAAGGTTTTCCAACTCCATCGGTGTTGGACCAGATGGATCTCAAAAATTGCTTACTTATTCACCGTGTGTGACACCAAAAGCACCTAAAATTTGTTGAGTAATTGCGATTGCTTCCTTCCCAGTACATGGATTGCTTACCATCACCTACTTTCGAATTTGATACTTTAAACCTTGTTTGAACACGTCCAAGGTATTTGCTCTACTCATATACATGGTAGATACTTGAAGATCACAAAATTCTTCAATGTACTCACGAATACCTCTTTTCTGCTTCAAATCCCACAACTTCATCCTTGTAGTTTGAAGAGAATTCACCGCTTGAAAATTTTGCAGAAGTCTTTCCTGCATTCTACTCCACGAAATGGTAGCACATCGTTCGTACATTGTGTTGTGTAACATATGAGAGACTTATACGTAAGATAAAATCTCATGAACATTCCTGCAATATAATCAGAAACATGAAAATGAGATAAATGGATATTCATCCTCATAATCCATCCTTCTAACACTCCCATTGCTCTACTCCCTTTGTAAGCTTTCACCTTACAGGATTTTCCCATTCGAAGCAAAAAATTTGTTTGATTTCAATCTCTTGAAGAAGTCTCATATTTGTCTCTGCTGTATCAATAGGAGTTGGTTCTGGCTAAACTTGGAAAGCTTGAACTTGAGGTTCAACTTCCATATCTCCAACTCTTTCTCTACTTTCTCACTCTCCAATGCGAAGATTTTATCTTCCATGGCTTGCTGCTTGGTATGACAATCTACTATCGCTTTTCTCAACTCCTTCATCTCCGCCATGATTGCATTGAGAACCTCACCCATATCGATTGATGTCTCCATGCTTTCTCATACTCCCTCTAATACAAAGTGAGTATAATCACTATGTGACCTTTCAACAAAGGAGTTACAAAAGGTGCAGGTGATTCTATTATAGCTCTATAGTACTCATCTCCATAATTCATCACAAGAAAATCTCTCCATATCCTGTTTTTTTGATATACTTCTAATCTCTACATAAGTGTTGAACCGAACCGCGACAGGTGGTTCGCGATTCAAATCCATGAAACAATCAGTATAGAATGTATATAGTACAATCCCAAATCTCTCCATAAGTAACTATTGGAAGAATCAGTGGCACTCTTGACTCCATCACTCTAGTCATAAATCTGCATCCCAACAAGCCACAAGGTACATCCGAAAATGATGTTTCTCCATGCAACAAAGGTGAATATCGAATAGATTAGGAATTGGCCAGTGCGGTACTAGATTCCTGTCAATCCCGTCCATATCTGCAAAAACACAATTTCCCCTTTCCACCTCTCTCTACATGCAGATGAATGACCTTTGCCAACCTCTATACACTCTCAAAACTGCACTTCATCATCATTCACTTGCTATTCCATGAGAGGTAATCCACACTCAAGGAAAGAGCAAGGTTGCTCTGAATCATTGTAACACTAGGGTTTAGAGAGAAGCTCACGCGAAGATAGAAACGTAAACTCTGAAGATGAGAGATCCCAACAATGGTTCTACTCTCCCTTATATAGCTCTCACCAACAAGTACAAGGTAATAAGATCTTATCTCCACCATCCATCCCACTCCTACTGGATGGATGACGTGGCGGATAACCCTAACAAGCACACGGATGGCTGACGTGGCACTCCCAACTAACACACTAACTAACACACTCAATCCTTAACTACAAGCACACGGATTGCTGACGTGACACTATCAACTAACACATCCACTCTATACCTACCAAGTGCGCGGATCGCTGACGTGGCAGCTATGACTAGTGCACACTAAAGTATCTATATCAATATTTAGAGTAACCTCTACTTTAGTTCTAACTAACTAAAGCTGGTTACACGTACTAGCTTTAGTTAGTAAATTGTCTCTCACTCTTGTAAACATTGGTTAAGTTGTCCTTTCAATATCAATACTACGTTTTGTTTTCTCGTTACTACTTCCATCTTTCTCGTTTGAGTGTCATAATAGCCAGTTTTGGATCTTAGGGTGTTATTCCGAGTTTTAAGAGTTGAAGTCCGGAACACTTGCAAATTTTATAGTAATATTCATAAAACTATCAATATTTTAACTTTTTTTATCCAAAATAATGTAACTTTAGTAAACATTAATAGCATCTTGCAAGAAAATTAGATTCAAAGTACTTGTTTAACTTAAAATATATAAAAAAATTTGTTTTAGATTTTGTTTACTAGGTGGACTTTATGCAGCTAACGAATTCAAGCATATTCAAGTAATGTGTTTCATATTTCAAGAAAATTTGAATCAATCAGTGATATTCATTTGATTCCATGATCAAATTGTTGAAAAATAAAACTTCTTGGTATAATAGTTAACATAGGAAAATATTGTAAAGATTTTTGTAAAAAATATTAACAAAATTTTGGATTTGGAAAAAAACAACAAAACCAACATAAATTTAAAGTATTTTTGAGAGCTAGATTAAATACATCAAGTGGGTATTTGGAAAGTGATATATATGAAAAAATATGCACTGATACTAATTTTCAGTTCAAACATTACTTGTTAGATTATTATGTTGAATATATAATGATATAAAATACTAGTTAAAACATTAAAGATTTGTAAGAGAATTATTTAATTTTTTTTTCTTATATCAAAATAAATCTATAACATGATTCATCTTATTTTGATCTTCATCTAGTTTTAAAAAATCAAGTATCAAAAAAATATATTTTAAACCGCAATACAATAAATTTGCGCAATAAATAATATTGTATTTGTCAACCTAAAAACAAAACTTGAAATATTTGCATGTCAAGTAAGAGGGTATATATATGAGAACCACTAATTTTTTGTTTACTTAGAAAGCATATCGTCAAAATGTGAAGTTGTTTTTTGATAACTACAGAATTTTTAAATATTCATGCAAACAAAATTTCTCAAAAAAAGGTGTGGGAATAGTAGCAATTTTTTAGATCTAGATTAGAATCAGATAGAATGAAATCATCAGTAGAAATAACATGCAACTTCACATATAGATATTTGAGTTGAAAATGCTAAGACAATCACAGGTTAGTGTTAAGGAGAAAATAGTCACAATAGTTTACGGTATGAACTAAAAAAGTAAAAAAAATATGTAAAGATATTTAACAACATATGGAATCCATGGCTTTGTACTACTAATTTCTTATCGCTTAAACCCATGAGCGTTTATTGACTTTGTCAACCGCCTCATTCAAACATCATCCACTTTGTAATATAAGCAAAAATGAATTAATCACCAATTGTACAGATCTTTTGACATCTCCATCATGGAATCCAATGCCTCCATTTGATTGTGAAGTCGTGCATTTCCCAATTTGGTTAACCTCACTTTCGTTCCTTGAATCTGCATGTCTCTGAATACGATGTCTTTGTGACTTTTGACTTTTGTTTTGTTTCTCGACATTATCCTATTCTCACTTAATTAGAAGGATGTGGTTCTGAACTAATCTGGGCCGGAGGCAAACTCTCTCGCTCCCTACTGCTCGACTGGTCACAAGAAGAAAGTGCAATTCTCTCTTGTTCATTAACTGTCCACAATAAACTTTTCTTCGCCTCTTCCCACAAAACCTGTCCCTCAAAATCTTCGGGCTCTGTTTCCTCCAGATGTGCACATTCGGATTAAGAAGGATCTCCGGATTCAAATCAGTCATTCAGTCTGCATATGAACATGTTTATTAACGTAAATGACTTCAGATTTCTGAAAAGGTATTTACCAAGTCTTCTTGCAAATGTGTAGATGGCACTTGCTTCGATGGGTACGCCCAATGCATATGATAGCATGAGTCCTCTGGCCTCTTGCCAGGGGACTCGTTCTTAGTGAGGCCGTGGGACGGGAAGTTTACGTTAAGGGCCAAGTGAACAGCCTACATCGATACTGTTCGACCATCGCTGTATTTGCTTCGCTTTGGCAGTCTGCAAGGACGATTATCAGCAGCAGCAGATGTCACAGCAGAGGATCGTAATTTGATTAATTGGTCTCTCTGTAGCTTGACTAGCTGAATCACATGTTTGTAGGCCAGGAGGGCCGTGAGTCCTGTCGGATAGGCGAAGAGTAGGTCTGTGTCTCTTGCTGATCGCAGTGGACCTAGTGAATTTGCTTTCTCTCTTTTGCTCACTTTCAGGCTGATTCGTCTACAGAGATCAATCAGTTTTACGGCATAACCAAGTTCGCGACATTTCAATAGTAGTTCTCCACTTCGTAATGTTTCTGAAGAAGCTTTCCCTGTTATGCAAGTTGTGATGCAAGTTGTTAAGATTGATGTAAATTGCTTTCCCCTTTCTGTGCTGATTGTATCTGACAGTAGAGATTGTCGATATTCTTTCAAGCTGCTGGGAAGTGAGCTTGGTTCTAGTCATGCTTCAATTTGGCTTCTCTGTCACCAGTTCCAGTCACAAATCTCTGTTAGGTCTTACGATGAAGATAACAACAGGAGGACTTTTACTGATTTGATACTGAGTGAAGGCTGGACAGTGTCTTTTGAAGTTCAGTATCAAGGTAGTGATAGCCATTTAGGTTCTTTAAATTGCTTTCTTTCTTTCGAGAAACGACTGGGAACCCTTGACACATTGCGGAGACACTTCATTCACATTATATCTCTCACATAAATTGAATGTTCGGCATCTCTCCCTGTGATCTTCTTGGTCTGAGTCTCATCGGAGGTTACCATTACGACAGAGAAGATTCTGGGGAAAAGTAATGTCTTGACTTCTTGTCCTTCAGTGGTTGCTCCACTAGTGTCAAATTTCTTGCGGCACTTTTCAATCTGGCACCGTCTATCTCTTTGTGGACCTCGAAATCTTGAAACTAGGCTGTAGGTTGATTTCAGCAGTTTCTGAGGTGCCTATCTCTGACTATCATTGTCATCTTATTCTGTAGATTGTTATCGCCTCTCATCAGAATACACGCCTCCACAAGTGTTCAACTTATTATATGCATCGCTTCAGATCTGATAAGAGCAATGTAGTCCCGATTGGTAAAGGTTAAACACCCAGTGAAGAAATGTTCATATACTTTTCTTCTTGAGTAATAGAAATGGTTGATTACTTTCCGATTGCGAAACATGCGCTTAAACTACTGAACCATTACAACATTGGTGATGACGGTAGTCACCTCTCATGCCTGACTCTGAAAGCTTTGCTAGAACTCCTTGTTAGATATGGTTTGGCTCAATTTTCTCGGAGACTACAGCTAATATTGAAAATCGACACGCTTTGCAGATATCACGTAGTGTATTCACATAATGTAACAGCAGATTTTTCAATTTGCGTCAACGTTTCTATCTAAGAATGTATCCGTGTAAGACTACCATCATTCATGCTTGATATATGATCTTTATCCATAGAAGAAGCGGCAGTCCACCTGGGAGTTTAGACAGAGTGTGTGAGCATAGTGGCCACAACTTGAAACTACAGTGGGTACTTTCGGATGTCATAGGGATCATATATTTGAGCAACCCACTGAATAGTATTAGTTCACACATGAAAATCTAAACAATCGCGTTTGTCTCACCAAACTTGGCAGGCGCTTTACTAGGACTCCTGCGCATTGATCATCTACGGCTCTCGTTTTGGGGACGAGGCAGAAATTTGTTGCATTGTACGATATCAGCTTTTCTGCTCTCTGCTGGAAGATTTAAAGATGTAGGATGGCCAATGATGTCACGAAAAACATGTACGTACAATTTCGGTGCGATAAATCTGAGGACGAAAAGACAGTCTGAGGGGATCTTAGGTGCATGAAGTACCAAGGAGCTACCCACAAAGAATACAGAACGGTACTCACTACTATGAATTTTTAAAAACATATGTCAGAAGAAATCGCACACCATCCCAAATAAACAGTTTTTTCTCCTGTAACAACAATATGTCCGACTGGTACTTTTTGTGGAACTGAATGGTCTTTAAGGTGATCATCCCACGTAGCTGTCTGTGAAGCCTAAGATACTGATTTTGCGTTTCACTGGGCACTGGTGTCATCAGGCCCGATATGTGCTAGATCAAGATGACAACATCTCTGAGAACATGGACAAACATCTTTCAGAATAGTGACTCGTTAGGAGCAGACGAACCATCTTAAAGCTTCACAAAGTGATGAATGCATTTTTACCTTAAAATGTCGATTCTTGGTCTTGTTATTTTCGTGTTCAAGTTTCCTGAAGGCTTCCGATTGTAAGAAAGTCAAAGCGATCGGATAAGCTGGAATAAAGCGGATCCGTCAAGAACACTTAGTCAGTGGTAGTTGCACAGCAAGCGTTCCAAATCTTCATCATGACTAAGATAAATGTCCACCAAGAACGCTTGGAAAGAAAGCGTTGGAACGGACCAGATGGTTGGGATATCCCTATACTTGTGTAGTGGTCGAGCATCATTAGATACAATCCTGGAGACAACTCGAGAGCTTATGCGTTATGCTTATAGACCACAAACTGTCTTCTCGTTCCTTATTTCTAATGATATACCAGGAACGGTCCATGCAGTCTCAGTCCTAGGGTGTACATTCCACTCATCTCTGTTTGATTGCACAGTTGTTCAAAATACTCAAATTCCTCGAGATGTATTATCTACGAGATATTTTTTTAATATTCCAGGCTCTCATGAAGTTGATTGGCTACGTGCTTCAGGTCGTTCTGTGTAACTGCCTGCAAGTAGCGGCATGTGAAGGAGGAAAGAAAGAACCTCTTGAAGAAGTTTACTACTGCAACGAAACATTTCATCATCACTTATATTCATCAATCATGCAAGCGCTACTTTGAGTTCAGCTATGGCCTGCGTTCGAACAGATTGCATTACTGGTGAAAATCGGCGTCGCATAACACTGAATCGAAACTGTCATTACGAGTCTTATCTTTATATCATACACCCAAAGGTCACGGTGTGAATCACGGTTGTAAAACAGAAGAAATACAGTCTGGAGTATGTGGATTGTCTTAGTAGTATCGCTCAAACAGGCACTCTATTCCTAGTACGCTGTGACAGTTCAGCGAATTTCAGATCACCGTTATAAATGTCGTAAGCGTTCAAGCACCCCAAGATGCCTTTGAATGTTCAGTAAAATGACCGCAGTTCAACAGCAAGGTTTCTTTTGCGCCAGGTTGTTGGCTGTAGATCTGTCCTAGTTGTCCACATCTGTATCGAAAGCATTGTCTGTAGGACATCAAACGAGTTTGCGTCGACAAAAGTTGACGTATTCGGTAAACACATCCCGTTAGAGGATGTGCCATCCGACGGCTTCTAGAGCGTGCGCGATCGGCGGGTGAGTTCTTCACGGTCAGATGGGGATACGGTCATGGTTGATCTAGCCAAAAGTGTTAGAGGCACCCATGGCTGGGGTTATAGAGAAAGAATTTGGATGCTCATATTTTTGAAACACGACGGTTCGTTCGAAGAAGCAGGCAACTTATACGAACAATTCAATGCACATATGTAAACGACTTGCAACTCGGGAAATAAAAAGTTGAGTTTAGCCATCAGCCATTATAACTCAGTAGCCTTCTGCCTACCTTTATTACTTGACCTTCTACTTACATCCAGCAAACATACTTCTGCTTCGGCAAGGAGTAGAAGAATGTTTGCAGGAGAAAGGAAAGGGGGCCAAGTGGCAGCAAAATCGTTGGGGAGACAGGTTTGTGATTTTATGATGCGAATATGATGTCGGGCATATTTGGAGCCAACCTCTTGTTGTTATGTACAGAGCCTTCATACCTTGGAGGAGGTGCTGCAGTTAATTCGTCCATAGAGAAGCAATTACTGGCATCGATGTCAGCACTTACGGGTACACATCCACTTTAAGGATGCATGATTGATGCGTGGTGTGTGGCTGTTTTCCTGTGTTTGACATTTTCTACTTACCTGTTTCAAAAAGCCTCTCTAGAAATGACAAAAGCCATATGATCATCGTATTTATATAAATAACTTTCCTATTCACAGCTTAAAATTAAATAAAATATTCGTCTTAGACTCACACTAACATGCAACAGTATCCTGTATCATAACGGAAAGAAATGTACTTCACGGTTTCGCAAACATGCAGAATATGTTGCTTTAGACACGTCTTGAAAGAGTCATCCTCTCATACGTACAGTTATTAGTATGCTTGAGTGACTCTTCACTGAAGTGAATCATAGTTTGCGATAAAGCAACAATGGTCACGTTTAAACATTGCCTTCCACTATATATTGTCCTATATGTTCTTTCAATTATGTATCTTTCATCTGACATTTAATATATTGTCATTGATCACTACTTTGAGTAGTGGTCAATAAGAGTATATTAATGATGAAATCGTCGAATGATGATAATATAAAATATTATCATCAGATATATAATTGGCAACATCCAAAGATATTTCACGAGTATGCGACATTTTCACATCTCTTCACATTTCCTATTGAGATATACTACTCGCTCGTTTCATCCTATAAATACTTGATGGAGGTTGAGGGTTTACTCGGTTTCCTTTAACATGATGAACAACTGGTGCACAATCAAGTGTGATGCCCTGCCGGTATCATATGATCTCATACCCCGGAATACCATATTTATGTCTATATCGATGAAACAGCTGCATAGCAAAACGCGAGTGCATTCTAGGCGAGAATCTACTTACTCATTCCTGAAGTACAAGGCATGGGATCTTGCTCCCATACTTGAGTAGGCCCTGCCAGCGAACAGAGAGAAAGAATTCGGAAATCGGACCCACAGCTAATATGCACTTTGTTCCTTTTCTTGTTGTGTCTTCATTCCTATTCCTATTGAGTGGCCAGAACTGAACACTTACAACCCACGTAAATTAATTAAAGATTAAAATGTGCAACGACCGCTGTCGGGTCTTTCGGAATGGCCACATTGACGGGGATGAGGTCGACAATCAATCATTTGACACTTTTGCCACAATTAATATACGGTCAATGCCACAATGAAGCCTTGTTATTGTTTTTGAGTAGATTGTGAATAGAGGAAAGTCATGATCATCTGATGGATGTAATTTTTGGAAGAAAAAAATATTGCATGCATTGCGAAAGTTTTGTAGAAGTCCAATGCCAGTATCTTCTGGTTATGACATCTAATATCTCTCCAGTCCTAGGATTGAAGACAGGTGTTGTCACTCATCTTCTGAGGAGGTTTTGAATAATACAATTCACATCTCGTGGATTTTGGAAGTCGGCACTATTTAGTTGAAGTCTATTATCATTAACTCATTCTTCTTCACGGACTAGCGCTATGTGCTTTGAGTATCTCAAGGTGAATAATCATGAGTCCTGTTCATGGACTCTTCTTTAAATTCTCGTTAGATTTCGATGGTTTTAGGTGTCCAATGAAAATAAGTGAGGGCGGAACCTAAGTTAGCCACAATGGAAAAACAACCAGGCCTGAAGTTCTCGTGAAATAAACTCAATCTCTTATGGTTTCAAAACTGTCACCAAAGCTTTTCAATACAAACGCAACTTTTCATAAATGTTGGGTGCCACAGCTAACGAAAAGGTGGCAAATGCCACTTTTAATGAGGTCTGATCTAGAGTGAAGGTCTTCGCATATTTTCCTTGAGTAACTCCTCTATGATCGGAAGTAGTTCTGGAACACATGTAAAAATACACATACCCAAATGCTTCCCATCCAGCTGCTTTATACTTGTTGCACGTGATTTGGTTGGAAATCAAATCTCCACAGCTATTGCCGTATCGGCTAGTTAGAGTTAAAGGATTTGGAATATCCGATCCAAGGATGTTACGAGCTATCATTTGTCCTGTTTATGTAGTGTGTCCTTATAGATTGATCATGTCATCTAAAGCAGGGCGGTCGATTGCTTGTGTCCAATCTGCCAAAAACAGTGCAAGGTGGTTGTAAACGGGGTATGTATGGAAGAATATGCAGATCCTGATGGGTCTGCACCAAACAATCTCTACACCTCTTTTGAACCTGGCTATTGTCGTTTCATGCCTGCTTCTGTTCAAGTGTCGATGAAAGTAAATCTGAGAAAAATCGATTTAATATG